ATTGCATTTCTCTAATTAAAATTATTATTGCATTTCTCTAATTTAAATTAATAATAATTTTTCGCAGACTACTCACTAATTTCTTTAAGAAAATTTTTAATGCTATAGTAATTTTAAAAAATAATTACAAATATATCAGTATTACATTCATACAATTTTTTATCTTAAAATTATTTGAATGAGGTGGCAAGACAAAATGCATGTAAAGAGAGTTTTGAGAAAGAGAAATGCGGGTGGTGTTTGGCAAGTTGGTTTGTGGCCAAAATAGCCACAAAAGACCAAATAGACTATTTTAGCCACAATAAACAAAGAATAAAGCTTAAGACCCCCAGTGGGGTACTGGGGTCACTCCTGATTGGCCAAAAAAAATAATTTTTTATTTATTTATTTTTTTTCTTTGGTTTCAGCCACTGGCAGAGCGCCATGTGGCGCTGGGGTCACTGGGGTGCCCCCAGCTGGGGGTCTGAATCACAGCCGATAAACAAAACATCACATCCAACCCATAATCATTACACTGTTCTTTCACAAAAAAAGCTAAAAAAGTCAAAAAGTCCAAAAGTCCTTCCCAAACCAAGCTTTTTAGCCCAGGCTAAAATAACCAAAAAAGTCAAAAATTCAAAAAGTCAACCCACTTCCCAAACGGAGATTGTATCCAAACATTCTATCAAATCTCTCACATGAGATGAGACTCACACAAATCCACATGTGTGTGAGTCCTACACTCATGTGAGAAGTTTGATAAAATATTTGATAAAATATTTAGAATTCCTATCATAACTCTATGAGAAAATATTAAACCGTGAGTCAACTTTTTAAATTTTACTTGTCATATTATTCGGAGGGTTTAAAAAGGAGAAATTGTGCAAATAAATCTTTTTTCTTACTATTATATTATAAAATTTTATAAACATTAATAATTAAAAATATATATTTTTTTATAACTTTATAATAAAATTTGGATAAATTACAAACACCCCCTCGAGATTTGATAAAAATACAGATTCTCTCATGAGATTTGAAAAATTACAAATTGGCCCCTGAAGGTCAAATTTTCATAACAAATTAGGAGAAATTAGAAAAAATTTATATGAAAATAAAAACTTCAAGGAGTAATTTGTTATGGAATATAAACCTTAGAAAGCGGGATGTAATTTCTCAAACCTTAAGGAATAATTTATATTTTTACCAAATCTAGATGGGTGTTTGTAATTTACCCATAAAATTTTGAAAGAGTAAGTAATTTAATTATTTAATAATGGGGTCCACGTGTGGATCCCACACCAACCCCACTCATACTTCACCCCTGGCCTTTATAAGTAGGACACCACCGGGGGCTCATTCTCCCTCGCTCTTTTGGCAAACCTCTCTCCAGATTCTTCTCTTCCTCCTTACTTCCTTCGTCTTCTTCTTCATTTCCATTATATCCAGATTTTTCGTTTCAGCCGCCATCCTTTTCTGTTTGTTTCCCGAGGAAATCCTACTTTTCTGTTTGTTTCCCGAGAAAATCCTCCACACTCTTCCTATCTTCTTTGATGATTTAACCTCCCGGACCTTTGATTCATTGCGATCTACTCGACTTCAGCCACTCAAGTTATTTCTGGTAAGATTCATAGGTAATTTTTTTTGTTGTGTTGTTTATTTAGCTTCGTATAGTGTATGTGTATGATTTCTTTTATTGTCTGTTGTTTCTTTCAGATTGTATATACTCGTTTCTGTTGTATGTGATAGGACGTGATTCAGCTTGATTTTCGTTCTAATTTGCGTATTTTGCCTCCCAAAATTTGCTAAAAAATCATGATTATCATTCACCAGTTTGTTTCCAATTTTTTGAAAATACTTTTTTAGAAAATTATAATTTCTTATTTTTCGTAATTTTTTAAATATTTTAAGCAATGTTTTTAATTTTTAGACACACTTAACATAAATATGTCTAGAAAAATATAATTTTTATTAAAAAATCTTTAAAAAATTCATTAAATATTAAAAATATAAAATAATAATAATATATTTTTTATATTTTTGCGTATTTATTAATTTTTTAAAATATTTTTTTATAAATATTTTATTTTTTTAGATCTTAGGATCATCCAATCTAGAGGAATTTAAAAGTATATAAAAATAAAAACAAAAACTTTGACGCAAAATTAAAAAGTAAATAAAAATAGTTAGGAACATTTACTAGTAAATCATACACGGATAACTTATAAAACATTTTAATCACTTAGGGAAATTCTACTTATACAACACATTTACCTCTTTATATCTTTCATTTGAGCTGACTTTCTCAAACGAGTCCTACGCAAGGTGTATTTAATAAAATAAAAAATAAATGTTTAAATTTTTATAAATATACACTAAAAATAAAAATAAAAAAATAAAAACAAAATATGAAAAATTCAATTTTCAAAAACTAAAACCAACACACTGATTTGTTTTTTTTGTTGTGGTTTTGGTTTGAAGATGGTTTTCGTACATTCTTAATCACTTTTCTTCGGAGTTTTCTTAATTTGCTTTGTATTTCGTGTTCATTTGCTTATTTTTCTTTCATAATCCTGAAAATAATTTTTTATGTATATATTTTAATTTAGGACAAATTACAGTTAAATTCTTTAATTATAGGTCGTTTTCACTTTATCGTTTAAATAAAAATTATATTACGATGTTTTTGATGTTTTTGTTTTTAATTAACCTAGAACGAAAAAGTGACACGTGTGGATATCTTTAATTAATCTAAGCGTACAGAAATTTTTATTCATTTTTACAAAATGAGAGATAAATGGTGTGTCCCAAGTGGAATGTTGATTAATATGTTGTCTCACATTTTGTTGAAATCTTCATGTTCCTAGCATAGTTGTATGATTAAAATGGAGGGATACTACAAATCCAGAAAAATATAATCAGAATTTACCCAGGATATCAACAAGTGATTCGTATTCATTCCATAGACCCCACAATACATAATTTTAATCTCCACCATACAACCTGTTCTTGGCCAAAATCTGGGACCCAAAATCTGGGTTCCTAGACTTTCTGGTTAAATTGTTGATTCAAAAGTTAATTTATGTGTATATATAAGAAACATATATATATATATTTCATATCTGATTATAGAAATAGAATTTAGAGGTATATGTATATTTTCATATAAAAACATCTTAGGGGTTTCATGTGCTTTCGAAGTATCGTGAAGACCCTTCGAAGATCTGCGAGGTGATCGTGAAGACCCTTCGTCGATCCACGTAAGGATAAAGATATATATACTTATGTTTTACATACATGTAAATGAGTATTTTAGTCCCAAAAATTGGCATATACAACTTCATGTCACTTTTTTTTTTTTTCCCATTCTTTCATAAGAAAGATAGGCCATGTTTGATTCCACAATACTAATAGTGAAGTATTAATAATCCAATTAAATTAGTGTGGTATTCACAATCACACCCCTACCCCATTACTAATAATCCTACAAATTTGTTGGATTAATTATCTATTAGATTGATAATCCTAAAACAAAATGTCAAAACAAACATAGGATAATTGGGCCTGCGGGTTAATAATCCCAATTCCATACTCTAATCCTTCCAATCAAACATGCCAATAAGGTATCCTAGTGGATGGTGGGACTGTCCTGGATTAGTCGGTCCGGATACGGAATTATAAAAACAGAAACAGAGAAAAAAGAAAAAGGTTTAATTTGAAATAAATTAAAAGATTTAAGGGGTAAAATGTAGCAATTTTTAGATGGGTCTAAAGTGATAATAGCCTAGAGGTACTGAGTGATTTGCCCTTTAATTTATGCGGCATGGATGTCTTAAGGGATGAAATTGTGCTTTGCCTCATGAAATTACAATTTCTGATTCCAGAGCAATGGCGCAATTTCTGAATCAAGACCTCGAATACATGGTCGATGACTATTATGACATGACTGATTTTGATGATTACCCTTTTGAGGACACTGAATCACGGAGGGGTGGTGTTGATGAGTCTTTGGACTCGGACTTCGAGGATGACATTGAGCTGGTATGTTTAAGTCTGGTATAAGCAATTATATTAAATTTTGTTGTTATTATAGCTGTAGAATCTTCAGTGATTATATTAAAGTATGTTGAAGATCCTAGAGAGATTATATGAGCTCTAGAATTTTCAAATTTTTAAATAAAATATGTTGTTATAGTATTGTCATCAATAATGGATTTTGGCTTTACAGAACAAGCCAAAGACTGATACTTCAGCCTTGGAAGCTAGAAATGGCAAAGATATTCAAGGAATTCCTTGGGATAGGCTTAATTACACCAGAGACAAGTATCGCGAGACGAGATTAAAACAGTACAAAAATTATGAGAACCTCTCACGCTCTCGTGAGGAGCTTGGAAAGGTCAGTCTTTGCTTCATCAATCATCCCATCTGTTTCAATGACAACCACTGTTGTTGTTATATGATCAATGATTGTTCTATCAAGAAGAGGGCCTTTTTGAGAATTTGAAACTTTCAAGGCAAATTTTTGTTCTTAACTTTATTTAATTTACCCGTTATACGAAATACCACCTCTTATTCTCTGTTGAGCATTGCCTCTAAAAATACTGAGTTCTGGCAGGAGTGCAAGGAGGTGGAGAAGGGGCACAGCTTCTATGACTTCCAGTTCAATACAAGGCTTGTCAAATCGACAATTGTGCATTTTCAGGTATAGGCACTCTCAACAGATTTTAAGGCTTGAGTTTCCATCTAGGCATATATTTGTTTCTCATATTCAATATTAGAATTATCGATAAATTAGTTCAAAACAGTACATTAGTAAGTTAATTAAAAGAGCTTCTACAACTAACTTCTTTTATACCAAATATTGTCCTGTTTCCTGATTAAATCTTTTCAATGGATGTTGATTGGAGTCTAACCAGTTATTACTTGTGCGCTTGAACTAAAAATACAATAAAATCCTTTGGAATTTTTGTATTTATGGCATCCTTGATTCCTTTTACAGGGATGAAAAATTACATATACTTGTTGGGATTGTAACTTTTCAGAGATTTGTCAAACACTCTGTATTCTTTTTTCTGAAATCCCTTTGGACTAGGTTATATGCATACCTTGGTGAATATAGTTTTGCAGGTTTTGTGTATTTATTATTAACACTTATCAATAACTTAAGTTACTGTTGTTTCTCTGTTCTTCCATTCTTTTTGTAATTCATTTGTAATTATGAAGTAATTGGCTCCCAAACTACTAACATTACTTTGAGAAGTGTTCCAGATTAAATAATGCTTTAGTAAAGGCCATAATGCTTGGGACTAACCTTGTTCTGGCATGCAAGCTGGTGAATTTGCCTTGCCTTGATTTAAAATATCGTAATTATCTTTAGCTTTCTGACAGCTGAGGTTATTCTATACAGGCTAGTGTAGACTATGTTATTGGATTAGGCTTATGCCAGCGTTATTTTGTTGCTTCTGGAATGATGGGAGGACCTGAGTTTAGAATATTACTGAACATTTCTGGAAGCAACAAAAACTGAGCTCGCACTAGCCCTTTTCTTTGTATATCAGCTGGTTTTAGAATTTAAGTGTTTTTTCTTTATTTTTTGTTTGTTTGTGCCGGTTCAACTTGCATTGAGCCGGGTCTTGTATTTACTAAATCCTTTTTGTGCAGATTATTTACACTTGCCAAGTTACGCATGCATTTTAATAAAATTACAAGATCTGTATTTGGAAGGTACGATCTTGAATGTGTAGGTATTGGTTTGCAAACAACTAAATAGTTTTGATGCTAAGTTATGGATGAGGAAGCATTGTGGTGAGAATATAACTTAGCCGTACTAAAATCTGCTATTTGTTGCGGATGTAAATGTACCTTCCAGTGCTTTGATATGTTCTTTAGGATGGATTGGTGTTATATACGCTAACAAATATGAAATTGCTATTTTGCACTTTTATGCGCACATGTTTCTGTGTATTGTGTATGTTTGATAATGTTATCAACTCAACAATCTGTAAAGCATTATCATCATGGCACTTTTTCATTCTTTTAATAATCTTTTTGTCCATAGCATTAAAAAATGATGATTGGGCCCAACCTTAAGGCTTGCTTTTAAGTATCCTTGACGTCACAGGTTCAACTCACAGAAACCTTGTTGCCTGCAATGGGGTTAAGGCTACATACATCTTGCTCTCCACAGACCTTGTCTTAGTGGGAGTCTCATACATTGGGTTACCCTTTAGTACATAGTGTCAAAAAATAGTACGTGATATGCATGTATCTTCAGATCAAGTGACAATAAGAGTGTCATTTTGCACTTTACTGTTTCATATTACATCGGTGTCTTCTGCTGTGATCTTTGTTAGATCTGTTGGTCTATTGTCACTAACTCATCATGGTGATGGTGCAAATGTCGATTTGTCTCTGCGTTGAGAGTTTTGCTTTTTAATTGTGCTTTTATACTTGACTGTTTAATTTGGCTTTTTTAACATAACTCCTGTGGCATTTGGGAATGTTATTTTATCTTGATTTCAGCTTTAGAAGCAGGGTGGCAGTTATGTCTGAGCAGCTGGCGCGATAAGGATCCCTTGTTCATATGGTATGATAGGGAAATATTTGAGCATTTAAGAGGCCTCTATAGAAATACCTGCACTTAGTAGTTACTATTGATTTACTTGTCATCAGGGACTAATTCAAACTATGCTTTTCTTGTTTTTATCATCTCAATAATGCGATGCATGCACATTTGATTTGGGTGATGTTTATCGAGTAGGAGAGTTCCATGATTAACTTAACTTCTGAGCTACTTCCCACTATCATGCTTGCATAGGTCTTTCCTTGATTAGTGGTAATTCTGTGTCCTGATGTTTTGGATTTTAGTAAATGGGTGCTAATGTTTACCCAAAAGATAGGGGCTGCATATTTCCTTGGCGTGATGCATCTTCCTTTGCTTTTTAGTCATGTTATGTTTCACTGAGATTATGTCATGTGTGGATTTTGTTTTGATTGGCGAAATACGATGCCCATTGGTAGACGTTGCTGATTATTTTCTTTGTTTTTGGGTCCTTTTCCCACTATTTTCTTTTCCTTTTCCTTCTACTACTAATTTTATTTTTTGTTGCATGTATGTTTTGCACCGAGACAAATGATACTCAAATTTTGCTCGGCATTTATTTGTTTGACCCTCTTGGGATGATCTTAACTTCAATGGATTCTTCATATTCTTTGTTGGGTGCTTACTAGATATTATCCTCATTTGAGGATTTATTCTTCCTGGTGAAACTTGTTAGTGTTATTAGTTATGTAAGAGGACCCATCATCACATTTTAATTTAACAGTCATCACATTTTAACTTCATCTACAAGCTCACTATGGAAATAATGCATCCTAGAATTTCTGAACCACCAGGTGCTTTGCCAGGTCGTCAATTTTTAGCTTGAAGTTGAACAACTAGTCATGTTTACCAGTTCTGTTTTATGTTTAGCAGTGTGTAATCATGATCTGAAAGTTGTACTGCTTTGAACTTTAAAATTTTCATATAGTGAATGGAAGACTATTGTGAATGACACTGATTTGGTGGGTCTTTCGAGCAGATTGCCTGATGTGTTCACATGTCATACCTTCCCTTCTATTCTGGTTCCTTGTCTGGTTGCTGTCTAGGTTTTAGTTGGCTTTACTTGCATTGTGTTGCTCACTGATCACATGTCCTCTGTGACGAAATCTTGGTAGCCAAATTTGCAGTTACATTTGGTGCTTTCCCAAGCAAGCCAAACTAACAAGCATTTGTCTTTCAGCACAGTCAGCACGATCATGTTTAAGCAAAACTAACTCACAGATGGAATCTTGAAAGAATTAGAAAAGAAAGGAAGAAGATACAATCATAACATAAGCAAAAGTTTTCATATTTTTCATTAATTCCATTCTTTGTCAATACAACTGTATATATACAGCTAATTACAACTGATTGGTTTTTTATACTATAATGTTCATTGTGCTATCAGTCGTTTGGTTGTTTATTTCTACAAGATAAATCGCTGTTGTTATGGTATGAATTGAATGCATTGTATAGTGGTCGTATATACTATAATCTTCATTGTGCTATCAGTTGTTTGTTTGTTTATTTCTAAAAGATAAATCGCTGTTGTTATGGTATGAATTGAATGCATTGTATAGTGGTTGTATATTGTTACTAGTGTTCCCATCAAACTGGGTTTTCTTCTTGCAGCTGAGGAATCTTCTATGGGCAACCTCAAAACATGATGTGTACCTTGTGCAAAACTACTCCGTAATGCACTGGTCCCCACTTTTAAGGAGGGGCAAAGAAGTAATAAATGTTGCTAAACCAATTGTACCCCCATTGGTAAGTAGTATATTGTATTACATTGGGTTTCTTTTGTTTGCCAATCTATCCTTGAAGCATACAAGAGTTAATTCAGGATGCTTTTACAGAAATTTCCTGGAGCCTTGGCTCAGACACTCTCCAGAGTCCAAATAAGCACCATGGCTGTTAAAGATAATCTACTGGTTGCAGGTGGTTTTCAGGGGGAGCTTATCTGCAAGGTATATATAATATATAAGTTTCAAGAAACTCCCCACCCCCCCTCCGAAAAAAATACATCGGTGGTTTGTTTCCTGCGAATTGATTACATATTTGCTTACATTTGTTTTGCTTGTGCAGAACTTAAACCAGTCTGGGGTTGCCTTCAGCACAAAAGTAAGCACAGATGAAAATGCTATAACTAATGCAGTGGACATATGCCACAATTCCAAGTGAGTTCAAATCTTATAATAGTTAAGAAAGTATTAAAGCTCGGCCTATTTGTTGGGGCAGCATCGTTAATGTGGCTACATTCTTTACAGTGGCTCTGTTCGGGTCACAGCGGCAAATAACGATGCTCAGGTCAGGGTTTTTGATGCTGGGAATTTCCAATGTGTTGGTCATTTCTCCTTCCCTTGGTCCGTGAATGTGAGTAGACATCAAAAACTGTCGTGTTGTCTGTGATACAATTCTCGACCTCTGCTATATTTCTCAAATTTCTAATTTGTAGATTTACATTTTTTTTTTAATGCAGAACACTGCTGTCAGTCCTGATGGTAAATTGCTGGCAGTCCTAGGGGACAGTGCAGACTGTTTGCTTGCTGATGCTCAGTCCGGGAAGGTTGGTTGCTACTCTTTTGTGCTACTGATTTAGAAGTTTTTTCTACCATAGTTGTGCGACTTTTAAACAAATTTTTCTGACAAAGGTGGTTTTAAACATAGTTACCGAAAACATGTTTCTTGGCATTGTGGGTTGGTATCACGACTTTAGTGTTAAAAGTTTTCAATGAAATTCAAATAAATACTTGTAAAATCTTTTGAAGTTGTGTTTTCAAGACAACTTCAAGCTTGAATTTAAAAAAAAAAAAGAAAGAAAGTTCAAAGCTACTCAGATTGGGAAAATATGAGAAATGTATTATGTAAAGAACTCACTGATTTAATCTGTTCAAGGTTGCCTTCTGATTTAATGACTCTTTTGCAGGTCCTTGGGAATCTCAAGGGGCACTTGGATTATTCGTTTTCTTCAGCTTGGCACCCAGATGGGCAAATTTTGGCCACAGGAAACCAGGATACCACTTGCAGACTCTGGGACATTAGAAACCTGTCCGAGTCTCTCTGTGTTCTCAAGGGAAGGATGGGTGCAATCAGAGCTGTGAGGTTCACATCAGATGGCCGGTTCATGGCTATGGCCGAGCCAGCGGACTTTGTTCATATCTTTGATACACAGTCTAATTATGCCCAGGCACAAGAGATCGATCTGTTTGGAGAGATTGCTGGAATTTCCTTCAGCCCCGACACAGAAGCCCTTTTTGTTGGCATTGCAGATCGGACATATGGTAGCTTATTAGAGTTCAACAGGAAGCATTATAACCATTATCTGGATTCCATGTTTTAGAAGCTGCTTGCCCATGCATCATCCGAGACGACTTGGCTTGCGTTCATATATAAAGATCAATGTGTAAATTGCATGGTCTTGTTGTCGAGTATGCTCGTAGCATAGCCTCAGGAATTGACATACCCTTGTTTTTTAAGATTCTAGATATATCAATACCTCCAGCTTATCCTCCTGCAGTTGGCGAGGAACAGGTTTGAGAGTTGATGGTTTCTACTATTAGCCAGATTATGTTTCTGCCAAATATGTTTTGAAGTAGAAGTGGGAAAAAGAAATTTTGCAATATGTAAAGGTCTTTTTTGGCGTTAGTTTTGTACGATTTAATGGTGTATTTCATTTATTCAGTTGGGTTTTGGGTTTTTATGTTTTCTTTGAAGAATCTTGATATTGAGAAAAAAGTGAATTGAAAATGTATAGCTTGAAGCATATAGGCTATAGCAACTCGGTGTTTACATGTGTGTTTTGAAGATTTGTTCGATAAATTTTCTTGTTATGCAAGTTGGTCTTGTTTCTTTGAAATGCAATGGTTGTTATTACAACTATTACTATGTTTGTACGAGTCAAATTAATCTCTATAGGTTTTAATTATTATTGCAAAATGTATAGCATTAGTTATTTGTTTTCTAAAATTTTTAAAAAAAAAAAGAATGAAAAAGGTACTACATTGTACTATTTTTGTCCGTATCTGTGTAGAGCATTTTTTAAAACACCAAGAAAGTATCTTTTGAAAAATTTATTGAAAATTGAAATTTTGATTAATTTTGGACGGTTAGTGTAGCTTTATTGATTTTCTTTACATCCTTAACAAATGTGATATTATATGGCATTGCCAGGTGAAGGTAGAACTAACTAATAAACAAACATTAAATGAGATCAAAGTTTAAATGAAATTATTCATGACCGGAATGGCAATGAATAAGTTACTATTTTGGTTGGGGAGGGGGAGGACATGGCAATGAACAAGTTCAAGTGGTTAGGTCAAGTCAAGTTTAAATAATTTGTAGCGCTCTATATTTCTTGTTATAATGGAATTATATTTGATTTTTTGATTATTTTGATTAAAAACCTTCTTAGTTGATATTTGAATTTTGATTGAGGTGTTATCATAGTAGTTAGGCAAGATTGGATCAAAAACTCCAAATTCAAATATTTATTATTGATTCGAATAATTGTTATTGAGTAGTTTTCACTCTTTTATCATTTTCTCTCTCCACACTTTGAATCTTCATGTAAGGTTAAAACCATTGGAAAACTTACTTCTGAGCTTCAATTCGGATACAAGAATGACCCTAAACGGAGTCCAAACGAGAGAGTTATGTTGGTTTGAAATTTGTAAATCTGTACAATATGCATAGTTTGCTCGAGAGTAACTTTCACCGCTCGAGCGGTCCATAGACCCTTCCAGCTCTATTTTTCAAAATTGTCTGAGATACTGGAAGCCTCGATTCACCACTTGAATGCACTTTTGACCGCTCAAGTGATCTGTCTAGAATCATATATTTAAAAGTCACTTTTTGGGTCAAATCTATTCACTTTTCACTCTCTCTTTCCGCTATTTTTTAATTTCCAAGCTTTTTAACCTTGATTTAGGGTTGGTTTGGGGTGTCCTAATAAAGTGCACTTTTTGTCTTTTTACGAAAAGATGTGCAGAAAAGTAGAGAGGTGATATGATGGAAAAAAGATAAAAAGATGGATTATATAGGTTATGCCAAACCAGGCCTTAATCTATTTTTAAGCATCTTTGACCCCTAGTTCCATATACCAAAATGTAGAGCTCAGTGAGGACTTCCATTTAATTTGAACGGATCATGTTTTCGTCGTCTTAGATTTTTCTGCTTTCTCATCATCACTTCAAGAGGTAGAAATTTCTTTGCTCCTTTCCAATACCTCGTCTATAGATATTGATGTGTTGAATAGAGTATGTATATGTATTGAATAGAGTATGTATATGTATTAGGCTTGCATTATTTATGCTTTTAATATGCGTAATACAAAACCTCTAGGCACATGCGTAATACAAAACCTAAGTTCTCCAAACGCTAGCTGAAAAGTATTGATGTGTTGAATAGAGTATGTATATGTATTAGGCTTGCATTATTTATGCTTTTAGCATGTTGAAATGATCGGTGATGTAGACGCGCGGAGAATGAGAGGTACCAGTACTTTTCAGCTAGCGTTTGGAGAACTTAGCAGAGGTATTATTACCTTCCAACATGTTGTTTGATAAATTGACATTTCATTTTAAGAAGGTGTACTCTTGGCTTATCGTGCTTAAAGCAGGTAAAATGGAGTTTTGTTTATCATTATTATCTCAGTGTATCTGTGTATATCAAGTGTGGCAATCGTTATGGTTAGATGAGTACGGATTGTCTTATATGATTAGGTAGAGGTTGTTAAGCATGTGTCGTTTCTATTTTCGTGTAACATGCATACGTATGTATTTGGACGTATTGGTGAGTTATCGAAAGTGTTTATTTGTACCATGAGTTTAAGGTCAGGAAATGTGATGGATATTTTAAAAGTAAACATATTTTCAAACAACCAGTAGTAAGTGATATTTATGAAATGAAAAATGAGAAGGAAAAGTGAATCATTTGTATTGTTGAATAAATTAGATAATTTTGGGAAAAGTACTTATATAAGTATACTTTGGTTATAAACCGTCACATTATTTATATAGTATGAGATGAAACATTCATGATCATAGCTATCTGTAAGTTGTTATTTTTTAGGATAATGTTGGGATCCCTACCAGACATTATGTTTATCTCACATTGGTAAATTTTTTTTTAGGTGAATGTTGAGAAATAGTTCAAGATCGAGGAGCTTTTTTTATCTGTTGGTCACGGGGCCTTTTATTCGTTAACGGAACGCCGTCGTTGTAAATAAAAAGGATTTAACCCTTTCTCTTTATATGTAATGATGTAAGCCTATAGACAATTTATTTAATTATAACTCATGTTGCATTCATCATGTATTCAAATAAGAGAACTTTTACTTAATTGTTCTTATTAAAGTATTGAATTTTTGTACGTTATCTCTGAAATTGTTTTATACTAATGGATTTGATAATGGTATCCATAAACTAAAAAGTAGGGCGTTACATAACTAAAATCAAAAAATTATTATTAAAAATAAGTTAATAAATAAATAAATAAAAATGACGTTTAATTAGTATATATTAATGTGTGTTTAAAAGGAGAAAAATTAGGTACACACTTAACCTTTGGACATTAAAAAAGGCAAATCAAAATATTACATAATTCATTTTGTACATGAATAGCAATGAATTATACAAGTTTTTGAAGCTATTTCATACTAACGAATGAAAGAGAAAAAAATGGTTAAGTGAAGAGAAAATTAAAGTACAAACTCCGAAAATCACACTAATTAATAATTTTAAGGGAAAATTACATATACCTCCCTTGAGGTTTGACTAAATTACAAATACTCCTCTGAGGTTTCAGAAATTACAAATACCCCCCTGAGGTTTATATTTTCATAACAAATTGCCTTTTGAGGTTTATATTTTCATAACAATTTGCTCCCTAATTTGTTATGTAAATAGTACCTTCAGGGGGTATCTATAATTTCTCAAACCTTAGGGGGTATCTGTAATTTTGTTAAACCTCAAGGGAATATATGTAATTTGCCCTAATTTTAATGTTCACAACATAACTACAACAATTCGTTACATAACTACAATTGATTGTAACTAAGATTTTTTTTTTTTTGTGGTGTATCCCTTCATAGCATAACTACAATAATTTGTATCTAATACCACAAAAACTCATAAAGATTACAAAAAATATACATATGACTAAGAATATGAAAATTTTGGAGGGTCCAAGTGTAATTAAATTTCCCAAACTACAAGTAACATATATACATATAACATGGTTTGTTGAAACTCCGCAGGGCAGGACGCCCCTTTGCTTCGATGGCTGAAAAGATTTTAGGCATATTGCGTTGAAGCATTTGCAGCAGCAGAGCATTTTCACCTAAGTTGTATTCTCTGATTCTTGTTAATGTTAGGGTAAATTATTAATATATCCTCTTCGATTTGTTTAAAATAAAAATTGTCTTTTATGATTTTGAAAATTTTGTTTGGTTTGTTTTTCAGAAAATTTTTTGAAAAAAATTCTCTACAAACAAATTTTCATAAGCAATCAAACAAAACAAATTTTTTCAAAAAAAAATCTCAAAATTTTGTTTGGTTACCTACTTTTCAAAATCACACTCTCTCTCATACACATCAAATCAATTACTTTTTTTAAAACTCTCTCTCCAAAATTTTATTTGGTTACCTACTTTTCAAAATCAATCTCTCTCTCTCATATACATCAAATCAATCAGTTTTTTTAAAACTCTCTCCCCAAAACAATTTTCTAAAACCATTTCTGAAAAAAGGCAAACCAAACAAATTTTCATATTTTTTATCTCAAAAACTACTCTACAAACACAAACCAAACACACCCTAATCTCTGCTACTTTAAGTTTCTAATACTTAACAAATGACTCATTTTATTAACAAATTATAAAGTCAATTAATAGTTTTTAATGATATCAAAAATATATTTAAAGTATAATAATTTAGGTAATTTATTATTATAGAGGAAAGTATTTAGGAATTTTATAATTTTTTTTTTGTTGATAGGAGAGTATTTGTAATTTGTAGAACCACCAAGAGCAATTTGTAATTTAATCAAATCTCATGTGGTGTATTTATAATTTATCCTTCATGTTACGTAATGAAATTTGACCTTTTCCATGCATAAAAAAAAAAAAAGAAGTGATACTATATGCAAAAAAAAAAAAAAAGAAGTAATACTATATGCAAGTTATGTCATTTGTGAATTTGATTATCACAAATAGTATAACTAAATACTATAAATTCATAACTAAAATAAAAAAAAAATTAAGTTATATCCAAATATCACATCAGTTATAATTAAATAATTCTTAAATCATAGTCAAAATAATGTCATAATTAATAATATAATAAATTATAATGAAAGATATAAAAATCATAACTAAAAGTACATACCATAGAATTTCACCAAAAAATAAAAAAATAATTAAAAATAAATTAGTGAAGCGAGACAGACAGACAAAACAAGACAAGATCAATTCTCATCTCTACCATATTAATGTATTCAATATTTAATTTTTTCTATTTTATTTTATTTTGTTTATTATATGGTAGTGAGAATGTGTGTAGCAATTTTTTGAAAAGTGAGTTAAACCAAATAAGATTAATAGCACTTCCCCTCATTGCCTTGCTCTTCGAGAGTGTTAATGAAAATCAAATTTGGTTATGCTACGTGAACAAATCAATTTTTTTTTTTTTGGTTGCTTAATGAAGTGGTTTCATCTAGAGGTGTAACTTGGGCGGGCTGAATCCGAACAATCCGAGCTTAGCTTGAATTTTTTTAAGATTTGGACAAAATATTTTCAAATTTAGTACGGTTTGGGTAAAAATTCAGAAGCCCGAATTAAACTCTGACAGACTTGGGC